AGGGCTTTCTAAGGGAAATTGGCTTATATACACATTACACATGAGGAAAATCAAGAAAATGTTTGTACAGCCAACCCGTTCGTCGAGATTCGAGCCCCGGACCGCCACTGTTCAGCGCTCGGCCGCTGGTGAGTCTAGGGAGAGATAACGAGGAATAAGAATGATAATTAACAGTAAAATATCCCAAATAATTTACTTGTATTTTCAAATAGTTTCATTTGGGGAATAAAAGTATTTGGTTACAAAAATGAACTAGAAAAGGTCAACTTGAACTTCTTGTTTTATTATTGTGCTTTGTTTATATGCCGTATTTTCTTGCCCCTCTTTCTTTTCCCTAAGTTTATCGTCCGAAAATCGACAAGGGAAAATTATGCGAATAATTTCATTTCCGAAGGATGCAGGTATAGTAAAAACAAAGCAAATGTTAAATAATCATGGATAAACTTCAGGTGTTATTATTTAAGAAGAATCTACATTCTAATGATAATACAAAGCACTATTACTATTATAATATCTTATCAGATACCTTTATTTCTGCTTCCCTGCAACTTGAGTTTCGCCCCATCTTATTGTTGTTGTCAATGTCCCAATCACATTAGGTCCCAATCACATTATGTTTCGGCTACGCGAGACTTGACGTCGAAAGGGACAATTCTCAGAACCCGCATATTTCCAGAAAACCTACGCATCTAGGTTACCGTTTTCACTTACTACAAAGACTTGGACGCCTAACAGTAACCGATTACCGCTCAGACTGGTATCACGTGATCCTTCAGAAGCAGAACTTTCGTCTGCTTGGTTGTCTCTACCCGGAACAGAGCTCCAGCCGAGACATTTTTGGTGAGGTTCAAAAAAAAAAAAAAAATTCCCGCGCAGCCGCAACATCGTTTCCGCAGCTAGGCGGGACTTCGCTTCCAGTGGGGCTCTTTTTTCTAGGAATCCTGCTGTTTAAACCAGTGCTACCAGAATCTCGTTTCTCAGAAGAAAAGTCCCGTCTAGCAGGGACTGTAGCTATATACGATAACCTCTTTAGATCTCAAATCATCCATAAATATTTAGAGAACATGAATGCGCAGCTGACTCAAATAGTAGACTGAATTTCAGTTCATGTTTGGGTCGCTACTCGTATTAGGCTGGCATAAAGTTCAGCAGTTAGAAAAGAAAGGACCAGTGTGATCGTCATAGTTCTGTTTTAAAATTAATGGATCTCGTTATTTGACCACATTAAGGAAGAAGAAAATTACTCGAATATTTTTTAAATTTTCAAAACCTAGGGCTAAAAACTAGGGGGAAAACTACGGAGGAAACCTAAGAGGAAAAAAGGAGGAAATACGGTAATTATTATAGGTTACGTATATAAGGTATTTCTCCCGCTTCCCTAGCGTGCCTTCGTGGTGTAGTGGTCAGCACACTGAGCCGGTATTTCATAGGTCCGTGGTTCGATTCCCGGCGAAGGCGGTTGCATAATTTTCATCGTTTCTGTTTCCAATTAATCTAATGACGCTACACGTACACTTAAATTTGTGCTGGTATGGACAAAGATAACTGGAAAATACTATGACATCACCTGCTAGCACTCATGTTATCCCATGAATTATTCTTAGAAGGTTTTGATTCAGTCTGGTGGGTTTATTATAACAGTTTCTCTATCCTTCCATTTCTTTTCCAGGTAAGGAATTACCGAATAGCGTACACGTAAATTAAATGAATATTTAAATACGTTATCTCAACTGAAAATTAATGTGATCAAAAAGAAATTTTTTTTAACAGAACATCATACAAAACAAAAAAATATTTTATTAATCTTCTCTCTGCTTAACGCTTCAAACAGAACTTTTCAAAAGAAAAGTGTTTTGAAGCCTTAAACCAAGTTGATTAATGAATTCTGAATACATGTTTCGTTCCTCTGAACATATATATTTTAAAGATAGAGCCCAGTTTGTCGGGAGTTGATTGTACGTGAACTACAAAAACGGGTTAAGTACTTAATAAGTGAAATAAGTTGTAATATATTTCATGAAGTACAATTGATGTTAAAATTGACTCTTATAATTAGAATTTTATTGAAAATTTTAAATGCACTAATTGCTTTTTCTCTGAAGGGCGAAGTAAATATGTCACGTTTATGATTTCTAGAACGTCTTGCTACTGTGTATCGAAACAGTCTTGATGGGAACTTTCGCGGTCGACTATGTTTGTTGATGACGTGTGCATCAAACTAACGTTATTTTATCACAGAATCTTAACTTTTAGTGTCTCTGAACTTACATTATTTTAGAATCTCTGAACTTATCTTGACTTATTTTAATCCTCTAAAGGGGTTAAATGCCGAATTCCAAAACCTTGTGTCTGATTCAGCTTTGATTGTTTTGAGAGAAGAAAAATATAGTAATTTTATCCTAATTTTAAAATTCCCGTTTCTTTCCCAAATTCCCTCAGCTATCTTACGGCGTGCTTATTTGAAGAGGCTGATTTCAGAAGAATCGTGATCGGAAAATTACATTCTACCGAATTTTCAACCGAAGCCTTATTAGTCTTTTTTTCCCCATTTTGGGAAATGGGGCTATGTGAAACAAAAGTCTCAAAAAGTGTGAAAATCTTCGAAGGGTCCACATGAGAACGATCGAAGAGTTCCCCCTCCCCGATATGACTATTTTCATGATATATCACTGTTTGTGACTATCATGCTATATCATACTGATACATCACATAACATGATATATTACATACGGAAGGCATAGGTGTTTGCTCGATAAATCAGAAATTACAAAATAATACGGCAGAAAATTTTATGTTACACTTCCATCGCAATTATATTTTTCCTTCAAATAATTAATTTGTAAATACGGATCTAAACGTGAAGTGTCAAAATAGGTACCTCCAGAAACATAAATATTACAGCCTTTTGTCAGTTCTTTTCAATGTGAATTTGTCATATTCTTGCTTGTCTGTTTTATGCTTGTAATTGTACGCTTACAACTGTAAAATATCTGAATAGGAAGTTAAAGAAGCAGAGCACACGCACGACTAAAGAGTTACAAAAAAACACATTCACATATTTTTATAATCTTTCGGTTCTGGTTTAGCTGGTATCTTTTAAAATTTTGACAAAAATATTATTATTATTAAAAGATACTACTGTTAAAGACAAAAAATAATATAAAAGAGCTTTTAAAGACGTTGAGTATCATTATTTTATGCATTGATATTATTACAATTAAATTAACAATCATCAAAACTTAGGATTACAAAACAAGCACAATAATTTTAAAAAATCATGAAATTATTTCGACAAAAATATTTTTAATAATTATCCGGGATAAATGAAAACTTGATGGTTTTTAGTTAGAGGTCAAATGGTTTAATAACAGGAATTATTGTGATAGAAAGTTCTACAGATCTAATTGAATCTAGACCCTAGAATGCATCCAACTGTCCTTGTTATTACTAATGAGTCTTTATTTCAATAATTTTCTAGCAGTCTTAATTTGAAAGAATGAAGAACAAGTTTATCCTTGAAAACTTTTTTGCTTATCAAAACTATAATACTATCAAAGACCCTACAAGAAATAACATAAACAGAACTATTTACTTTTACAAATCTCTATTAATTGCTTTTATTTATTACAGTTTTGTTGTGACAATCATTTCTCTTAGAATTTGTAAAGGAATAATGCCAAATTCACAAAACAAACAATACAAACTTCAACAAAGATTTTGCTTTTGATAATGTTTGTATTAAAAGCATAATGTTGTTCACAACTCTTGAAAGAAAAGCACATAAACAAGACCTTTATTTTTTATTATGGCTTTCTATTAACTGTTTTACTTATCAGACATTCTTTGGGATAAGAATTTTCCTTAGAATTAGTTAAATAATATTTGCATCAAAAGCATAATACCGATTAACATATCAGAAAACTATTTTATATATGTGCCAGCTCATTCTTCAGACAGCATTAATAATACTACTGATAGGCAATCTTCACATCAAAAATGAAAAGCATTAAGAGATTTCGAAGTTTATCTTAGTTCGAAACACGCGCTTCATTTGATTTTTTGAAAATAATGATGCTACTCTATCCCCCCCTCCCAGAAAAAAGTATTCGTCATATAAATGGCAAAAAGTCTGAAACCGTTAAAAAACCGTTGAATTTAATATCATCTAAAATTAGTGTACAGTTTTTGAGCGAAATTTTAATTACAACGCTGAGCAATAACTGGCTAAAAGCAGGTTTTATATTAAAATAATAAAGTAGCATTTTAGGTGCGATCTGCTTTTGTTTCCGACTCATTCCTTTTAATAAGAATGCAATTTCGATGTTTAGAAAAAGATATTTCCTTTAAAAAAATTTTTTTTAAAAAAAGTGTTCTCTTCCCCCCGTCACCAAAAGTGTACTTATAAGACATGTTAATAATACAATTAATTACATTCGAATGAATTACTAAATAATAGTTCTGAAGTCATGTTTGCCGCAGTGCCGTGAACATGCTCGATGTGAAACATCAGTACACATCAAATCAAATATGCATGGTGGCAATAAGTAACTGAAATGAGATAACACAATAATAACGTATTATTGTTTTAAGTAACTAGAATGAAATAATTTTTGCATAACAACATCAGGTTATGCCGTTTTTGCAAATAAAACGTGTTTTACCGGCACTTGTTTCTTCTTCCTCTTTCACTTGTTTGTCAAGAAATTGAAATTAAACTGAATTTCAAATCTTGTAAACTCAAACTTTTTAATGTTTTCAGTCGTACATTTTATGCAATTGAAATTATTTTCAAGCAACTTCTAAAAGGAAGTATATTTATTGCAGAACGATATTAGCTTCTGGCAAAATATATTTTAAAAATGTCATTCTGTGAACTCATGTTTGATTAAAAGAGTATTTCATCTGAATATGTATGTGTTATTGGACACACAATTAAATTTCTCTTATGAATGTAATTTAATAATATTGTATCAATATTTTATGCTCTTATATTTACTCACCGCTAAATTCTTTGACCTGTTTTTCATCAATCCACAGCGTAATATCAGAGCCATGTTTATCTCTCGATGCCAGCACCAGCCGCAAATATAAAAACACAATTACGAGAAGGAACTTCATGATCCTCACCTGCGCTACTGAACAAGCCCCATGAATATCTTTTCGATCACCTGCTTCACTTCCCCCGTGCAAGGGATGCGCTGCTATGACGTCATCTCTACTCCTAACCAATGCCTAGCCAGACATGCGGCTTTCCCCGAGGCTACCCACATTTAAGTTCTGGGTTCCCACATTTGGCAAGAAATCAAACGTTCGTGGTAAAGTGAAGGGAAACTGAATAAAGTTATTAGTGCAGTTTATTCCTCGGTCTGCGAAAGGAAATCTTTTGACAGATATTTCGCAAAACAAAAACGTATAAAACAAACACTGAATCGCTATTGGTTTACGCTAGGAAATGTAGAGCTAGTTTCTAATTAATTTTTTTTTATCAACTATAAATATAGGCTCACTCTTGTGTTTACGAACTTCACTATGTGTTTGTCCCGCTACGTTTATGCTCTTTTTTTCACTCCCATTTACCAAAGTTCGATTTTATGAATATTCTTTGCAGTCCAAGTTCGTATAAACGTGAGTCATATGTATTTTGAAAAATGTTATCACCGTAGTTTTTTTTTTTTTTTTTTTTTTTTTTTTTTATCATCAAACTATACTTTGATACTATTGTTATTGTTCTGGCGTGCAGCGTGGAATTCTCTTCAAACTATACGAACTGTGAAAAAGAATTAACCGGATATTTATATTTCTTAACTAGTGAACTGAAGTCAAGAAAATTATTACAGTATATTAGTTTGGCAAAATCAGTGCTATTAGTAAAGAGCAACGTCATTTTATTCTTTATAGAATTGTATTTCATCCTTCTAACGCAAGATGGTTTCAGGTACAGATAGAAATGGTCGGAACAACAGAGATTCATCATTGGTCGTACAGGTATAGTACCATCGCATTAACTGTGAAGTTCCGCCCAAAGTTTTAATGGAGAACACCCTGGGGAGCGGCCCGAGGGTCTCCCACTCTCTCCACCTACCACTAACTTCTCGAGAGGACTTTCGGCTCGCCGTGTATTTTGAGTGCCTCTCTTGCCGCACAGTCGCTATGCGCTTATAAACAACCATACCTTCTCCGGGATTCGAACTTGGATCCATCGGTACAGTAGTCACCGTCACCAACCACTACCGGCTGGGCGGCAAGTTTCATGTTCATTTGGATTATATTTTGAACAAAATATAAAATAAATAAAAAATGCAAAATACCTGACTGATAAAAATTAAATTAATCATGCGGAGTTATTTTTAATCAAATATTCTTCAGTCTAACAGCTTGGTAAAAGGCACCAATTTAAAGATTTGAAAAATCGCACATAGTTCCAATGGCAAAACTAGAAATTTATTAGGTTATTAAGTTACGTAACAATGTGCAACGCATTACCAGAAAACAATTAATTACATACAAATATCCTAATAATACAAATATCCTTCGGGTTTAAAGGTTTTATTCTACATGTTGAAGCAGAACTTGATGATTTCCATTAAGGAATATGATGTGGTGGATTATTCAAGAGAATAAGTATTTGACTTCGGTACTGACTTACTTTTCCGCAATCTTTACTTATATTTGCTAGAAAAAGTCTGAGTACAGGCAGTCAAAAATAATATCCCCCCCCCAAAAAAAATTATTAAAACCCTTTTATAAAATCAGTGTAACGTTTATTTTTCTTTATTATTTCGTTACTTGGGTAATATTACTTTATTTGTAAATAACAGTGAAAGAAATTCGCAATTAAAAAAACTTTAATTAAGTAAGCTTTAATTTCAACATTTTAAAATACTATTTTTGCTTGTTTTTTCGTTAGCAAAATCGTTGATGACATTCTAGAAATTTGCTTCACTACTCCAGTTGCTCTTCTTCAAACAGTACAGTATTATTAAAAACAAGATTCTCATTATGTCTGTCTTTTTTTTTTTTTTTTTCTTTTTAGGTGCTTGTTAACCGATTTGTATTAAAAGAAAACTGCTCTCACAGCAAGAAATACTTAGAACAAGTGTGAGAAAAATTCGAAGCAGAATTAAAATACTAGAATTTTGGTTTGGAGAGAGTATTTTAGAACAAATTGTAAAGGTCAAATCGACTATTGTTCCACCTCTCGGTTTCGTCTTCCGAAGCGGTAACAGAAGTAAAACTTTAAAATATTTCTCTCTCGGTAAGGACGACTTCTATCTTGTTCGTATACAAACAATTCTCTTCTCAATTCAGTTACCATATCACAATTCGGTACCTGTGATTCTTCACCTTAACAAATGATCGAGTGGATAGAATAACTAAATAATAGCACTAATTCAGAAGTCAAACAACAAAAATCAGCGTTATAATGCGTCGGCGTTTGTGTTGCGTTTGTGTCTTAATTAAATAGTAGTAGTTGGACATTGGATCAAATTCCAAACAGCGGGCTGGCTGCCTTATGTGGTTTACTTTATGTGTAACGTAGGGCTTATAACGTCGTATTCAGACCTGAGTGAATAAGAGCCAGTGCCATTTTCGTAACGTTAAAATGAGCGAATTCCCATTTTTTTAGGCCTTTTGCGGAGAATTTTAGGCTCTACGAAGACATTCCGCCCCTTATACAGATAATTGTAATGAACTTTTTATAGTCCAATAAATCTTAATTGATATTTATGCTTCGAAGATCCATACGTCTAACCCTGTAATCTGTTTTATGTTAAAAATGCCGCCCCCAAAAATGTGCCGCCCGACGCGGATCGCCCCCTGCGATCTCCTCTAGCTATGCCACTGTATATATTCTGAGCATATAAAAATTAATGTTGGTTCCAAATTTTATAAACATCATTTTAAAGATAATTTTACATACAGTTCAAAACTTTAACCGTTTTAAAACAGTAGTGCAAGTTATGGAAGAACTAAATTTACTTTGTCGTGAAACTGTTATGAAATCTGGTTGCCATTATTTGACAATTTGTAAATATTTTAATACTTCAATTTAACTAGAAATATGGAAGATTGGTAGAAAAAGGGAAGGCCCAAAGCATGATACGAAATGACCGAAGTCTGTATTTTTAAAAGATCGTTTCGATAGTTGCGAAAAATTGAGACATAAGCCTGCAGAAAAGTTTTTCACTTAAGGTTTCCATGTGGACTGCCAATAGAAGAGTGAATGAAAATGGCTTAATCCCAGAAACCTGTGAAGAAGGTTTTCATTAATGAAAAAGTAAAGTTTAAGCTACTACAGTGCTCCTTAGTTTTTTTTTTTTTTTTTTTTTTTTTTCCATTCATGGCCCTTTTTTTTTATGATGGAGATCTTTTCGCGACCCCATACATTAAATATAAAGTTATAAAAATTAATAATCTTTGGTAAACAATATACATGAAAAGCAGTAGTATTAGGATTTGTTTTAAGTACACAAAAAGTTAATAAAAGAAAATCACGTTTTAATGAGACGGATTTTTTTCATAACTAATTAAAATCTTGGTGTAATATTTAACACTGCTGGATGTAAAGCATCTTCCGCGTTTTTCAATGTAGAAAGACATTTGGATTTAATAAATTTTAAAGTTGAAAATGACGCTTCAAATAAATATATAGTGCTGACGGCACTATATAAGACATTATGACATTAAGTTAAATGTTATTTAGTTATTTTCTTAACTTCAATAAAATTTAAGAAACTGTGGAAAATTCAGATCTATATCTGATCCAGAATTCAGTCAAGAATTACTCTGGAAACTCTAGTTGAGTCACTCGATAGCTTAACAAATTCCTTTCGTGCTTTATATGGCAGGTGATTAATCTGAGTCATGTAAATAAATCTAATTTCTTTAGAAGTCTCATTAATATAATTTTTTAAACTCACATGACTAAATTAAATTTTCATGGCCCCAACATTTCTTTCATTTTCGTGGCCGCAATGCACAGTTTAAAAAACGCTGAACTACAGAGGCTGTGCGCACATTTTTTAGACAACTTTTCTATAAAAAAATCGCGTGCTTGGAAATTTTAATTGCAACTATATTTTTGAAAGTGTATTCTATCGTCTGCTATTTGACAATTTTGCTTTCGCGAAAAATGGCGCTTTTAGAGAAGCAGTGGACGGAAGGCAATGTTTGTGCTGTTTCCGAAGAAAATTATTCCTATTTAGTTATTAAAAAATGCTGCGAAAACCATAATTTTTCAATATCTAAAGCAACGCTATATAATATTGTCAATAAGAAAGAACAAAAACGTCAAAGTTTTACTTCAAGGAGAAAAATTGTTTAACATACACATCCAAAAGAAAAACGGAATGTTTCGAATGTTGCAAAGGTAATTAAAGGTCTTTATTGTTAAAAGAAAATCTTCGAAGTCAAAGGATACTTGCATAATCATTTAAATGTTCAGCGTGAACTGTAAACAAAGTGATTAATGCTGATTTGAACCTTAAAAAAAACGTAATGTGCATCGTCTTTCTCTATGGCATATCGCCGAAAGCAGAACGTGTTGCAGCATTCTCTATAAGAAACAATTACTCGGACAAAACTGGAAAAATGTCGTCACAATAGATGAATCTTGGCTATATTTAAATAACCGCAATAACAAGAGATTAATCTAATTTATTGTCATCAAAGAGAAGAAAAAAAAATTAAAACATGCTACAAAGAATCTAACGAAAGTTTTTCAAAGGGATTTAGGATTGTTGCTGGTGTTTGATATAACGACAAATAAAAATTAAAGAGAGTGCAGAAAACTATTAAAGTCAACTCCAGATATTATCGGGAACGTATTTTATACCCAATCTTCAAATATGAAATACCTTCTCTTTACTCACAGTGCCATCAATCAGTAGAACTGCATCAAGACAAAGCAAGTAGCCGCACGTCAAAATCCACTGTTAATTTCCCGGAAAAAATGGAACAAAAAACGTGTATCAAACCCTTCCCTTATATAACTACTAAATCTCCTGATCTATCATCCACGAATTTTTGCTCTTTTGAACTTTAAAAAAGCGGACTGTCCAGACGGATTGTCGACCTACAACCTCCGTCGACTTTGGAAAGCTGTTCAAGAGGACTGGGATAAATTACCTCTTCCGCTACTAAAAAAAGCTTTATTGTTTTGGAAATTATGGTGTAGAAAGAAAGATGGTGAAGAATAAGGGTTATTA